GCCCCGCGCTGCGCCCGGGCTGTGCGAACCGGGAGGTCGCGGGCTTGGGGTCCGTGCGGGGGCCGGGCTCCGGGGTTGCGTTTGCGTGCGATATCCTCGGGAACCCGGACGGGGGGGGACCAGAGGTCCGGAGCTGCGCCAGGCGACACTGTCCCCGGCGTGCCGGGTCGACTGTATGGGGATGCATGGCTCCTGCCGTTCCAAATCTGGCGATTAGCACTGCCCACCTGGAGGGTCTTTTCTGACACCCTCTCCTCCGCTGTGGCTGCGTTTGGGTTGAACCTGAATTCACAGAAAGACAGCAGATCGTCAACCTCTGTCAGATATCTCCGAGGGGACAAAACGGCCCTGTCAGTGGCGAGTTTTACCAACCAGGGCGCCCCACTTTGCATCTCTGACTCCGGTTTGCACACAGACTTTGTTTTTGACCCAATACTTAGCCTGATAGCTGCAAGTTCAGCAGGCTCTTTCACCTGCGGGTCGTTTAGCAAAACTAATGTTCCCTTTCTGTAAAAGGGGACAGCAGTTCCATCCATTCAGCTGTTGGAGGTGGACTTCACGGTGCAGTTCTGCCCAGATTTCCACTGACAAAACTAACACTGTTTTCATTAGCATTTAAAAGTGTTTGCTTTTAATCGGTTTGTTTCCCTTTCCTCTTCCCTCCGGAAAGTTGGCTCACTTTTACCATTAAAGTAAGATTTTCTATGTGTGCGAAACCATAACACCCGCGTGGGAATTAAAATCTTATCTCAGGTTTGAATACTTTGTTGTATGCTTAAGTATGGAATTATATCGTGCTACTAGCAAATCAAAAATACCCTTCCTTGGGCGCCTGAGTGGCTCAGTCGTTAAGCGTCTGCTTTCGGCTCAGGTCATGATCCCAGAGTCCTGGGATCGAGCCCCACATCGGGCTCCCTGCTCCGCGGGAAGCCTGCTTCTCCTTCTCCCACTCCCCTTGCTTGTGCTCCCTCTCTCGCTGTGTCTCTCTCTGTCAAATAAATAAATAAAATCTTAAAAAAAAAAATACCCTTCCTTGTTAGTATACTATAACACACAGAAAATGAGTAACTTCTCTCAGTTCTGAGAGAGTGCTTAGCTAGGACCACTTAGATGCAAGACAGCGAGACACTCATTCCACTTGAGGGCTCAATGAACTAAATAGGGCTTAATTCTCTCAAGGAACCAAGATTGAGAGAAATAACAAAGAAAAATTGAGGGGTACATTTTTCTATTGCAGTGGTTTACAATCTGGATTCATTTACTTAAAAAAATAAACTTTAAGATGTCAATTAGAGGGGTGCCTGGGTAGCTCAGTCCGTTAAGGGTCTGCCTTCTGCTCAGGTCATGATCCTGGGGTCCTGGCATCTAGCCCCGCCATCAGGCTCCTTGCTCAGTGGGGAGCCTGCGTCTCCCTCTCCCTCTGCTGCTCCCCCTGCTTGTGCTTTCTCTCTGTCAAATAAATAAAGAAAATCTTAAAAAAAAAAAAAAGATTTCAATTAGAGTAAACATTTTGGACATTCAAAAATGTTGAGATGTAAATATTTTTAATTTTCTTGGAAGACAGTTTTACTTTTTGAACATCTCCATGACTTTACTGATCTGTTAACTACCATAACTATAACCAGGGCTTTTCAGCTTTTTTCCTACCGCTCCAGCCTACTGTGGGGGTACCCCTGCCAAGCCAGCTTTGGGTTTTCAGGGATTCTGGAACCTGATGCTATGCTCCTGCTCTTTGAAGTTAACTTTGCCTCACCCTAGAGCTTTGCTCAGATATCATTGTCTCAAGGAGATGTTCCTCATTCTTCACACTAGATGGGATGGGCCTGCGCTGTGCCCTCATACACTTTAAATCACCCTTCCTATTTCTAGTTTTTATCTTTTTCTCCCTAGGAATTGGGTCTTTTTAGCTTAGCTTAGCAGCTTGCCCTGTGATAGTCACTCAGTATTTCAGTGAATGAAGGAGTGGTTCGTGGTTGTTGGGTTTCAGCTCTGATGGGTAAGGCCTGTGACTGGAAAACCGGACTATTTGTGATTAGCTACTGTTGATGTAAGCTATGAAATATGGTGGGGCTACAGATTTGGTTTGCTAGCTACCTTGTCCATCTACCTGGACTAAAGTAACTTTACAGAAATGAATCTTATGTCTTTTTTGTCTCCTTACTTCATATATTTAGAACCAGATGCATAGAATGTGTATGTTTATATAACTGAAGTTCCCACAGAAATTGATAACTATAACCAAAGAGTTTATACACACTGGAAATTTTAAGCTTTTTGTTTAATATACACATGTTCTGTGTTTGAGTAAGGTGGACAACTTTTTTGTTGTTAACGGCTATATTTTTTTTTTAATTTTTTTTTTTTTAAGATTTTATTTATTTGAGAGAGAGAGAATGAGAGACAGAGAGCATGAGAGGGAGGAGGGTCAGAGGGAGAAGGAGACTCCCCGCTGAGCAGGGAGCCCCATGCGGGACTCGATCCCGGGACTCCAGGATCATGACCTGAGCCGAAGGCAGTCGCTTAACCAGCTGAGCCACCCAGGCGCCCTGTTAACTGCTAAATTGATAATTATGTTAACCCATGGAGAGGCATTTTCTCTCCCCCAAATTTTCATTCATTAATTAGTTCAGTAGATATTTATTAATAGTCTACTATGTGCCAGGTTACTAGGCCAGGTGGAAACACCTTTTGATCCTCCGAGATCAAAAGGGCAGATTTGAATTGGTAAACAGGGTGTGGAGCCCGACCTTTTTTTTTTTGGTGGTGATAAGAGGGCTCACCTCCTGCAGCCTTAGAGGTCAGCTTTTCTGCTCTGGATATGCATTGTTTTTAGTGGTTTAAAGTCTTTAAAATTCACTTACTGTCCTCTTAGAGAGGTTTCAGGAGGGAGAGCACAGATAAACGGACAAATCCAATCTGATAACCAATGCTGATGCTATCTATAATGGCTAGAGGAAATGGAAGAAGAGTTCTTCAGGCTTCTATTAGTAATGGGTTTCTTTTGACCGGCATGCACTCCTGAGCCTCCTCACCTTTAAATGTGCTTCTGAGTTGTGAGTTGGGAAGCTCCTCATGCTGTAAGCAGTAAGGAATGGTGGGGGTAAGCCCAGCTTCAGAATTAATGGTAGATCACACATATCTAGAGATGTTAAAATTGTCATGGATCGTAGAAGGGATCCTGCAGGTGTTTAAACAGTCACAGTTTGACCAGAAGCTCAGGGTTAATATGGTATGTAGGAGGAGAGCATCCGATTAACTTATTTAGATCCCACCTGGAATTACAGAGGAGGGCAGGTCCCAGATGTTGATATACGTGACAGTTGTGATTTGAAGTGATATTGAATTCCCTTTTTGTGTGTTTCTTTCCCTCTGTCCAGTCCATTGATGACTTGAACAAATGGGCCCTGTTTCTTGTCTCTCCTTTTATACTTGAAGCAGAACACATAGCATTTGTGACAGAGAGCATTTGGGTGCAAGGTGAGAGTTTACAGAGACCGGCTTCCTCTTCAGAAACCGTGAGTAACATGTTCTTCACTTGTGTCCCAAAAGGAAATGATGTCTTAACCAAAAGTAAATTTGTTTTTTCCCCTGTTCTTTCCTGGCCTTTGTGACCCCCTCTTTTGTGGACATTTTGGGTTAAAGAAAAATGTATTATTAAAATCATTTTCACCTGTTTCTTTTATTTTTTTTAATGTGGCTGCTAGAAAAACTGCCTGGGTGGCTTGTGTTTGTGGCTCCCATCATGTTTTCACTGGGCAGCATGCTGGAGGGGCATCTAGCCCATCCCTCCACTTCTTCAATTTGGCCCGAGTGGTTAACTTATATCGCCATGCACTTCCTAGACATCTCCCCTGGAGTATTCTGAAAACACTTCAAACTTAATAACCTGTCTAAAAGTAGTTGCTTCTATTTCTCTGATGGAAAAAAAAAGAGAGTCTCAGAGGAACACCCCAACCTATTCTTCCTCTCACCTTCTGCGTCCTTCCTGCCATGCAGGTCCAAATTCTACTGATGCCCCTTCCTCGGCCGTCTCCACTCGCCTCCTTCATTTCCACTCCTTGTTTCGTGCTCAGCTTCAGATCTTTTGGTCTAAACCATGGAAATGTCCTGTCTTGTGTCCGTGGGTTTTTCTCTTGATGGCCAGAGTTCTCTTTCTAGACACAAATCCAGGGAAACACACTCTTGCTCAAGCTTCAGGGGGCGCCTTCTCACCAGACATGGTCATGCCCTTAGGCCCCGTGGAAGTCTGACCTAAGCCCCTCTCATGGGTGTCTTCCGCTCGGGTATCTGTGATGAGTCCTTGGCTTGCTGCTTTCACTCAGCCACCATGTGATCCCTGCCTGTCACTTGATAATCCAGCAGGGGTTTTGCTGATGATAGCCATCGTCCCTGGATTTCCATTTTACAAACACCATCTTTAAGCCATTGTATTGGGATGAGAGCAAAGGAAGAGAGGAGGAAGACTAGACAAAAATTGACTAGAATTCAAGGTAGACTGAAATAAGGGCCACGAGATGGGTAAAGATATTTAAAGGAGAGCAAGAAACTGTGTTTGGGGGGC